CCTCCTCCCTCACTCTCCCTCCTTCCCTCTCCCTCCCCTCTGCCTCCTCTCCTCTTCCTCTTTCTCCTCTTCCTCCTCCCCCCTCCCTCTCCTCCTCCTCCTCCTCCTCCTCTTCCTCCTCCTCCTCTACTAATCCCAGCCTAATTCTATGATCTGGACCGCTCAGCCAGTGACAGCCAGGGAATCCCAACCAGAACTTCCACGTTAGCAGGGCAGCTCAGCCAATCCCTGCCAAAACCTACCTCGCCAACCTTTAACCTCTAAAGTATATTGGAAACCATTTTCTTAGACATGAAGCTATCTAGTGAAGACAGGAGCAATTGTTCAGAAGGATTTATTATTATTATTATCTTATGATTTATGATGAATGTTTTCTTTTTATTATTATAATCAGGATTGATCACTCGTTGCTTGTTTGTACGCTCAGAGCTTCTGTGCCGGAGACGAATTCCCTGTGTTTCCAATCACACTTGGCCAATAAAGAGTTATATTTCTATTTCTATGATCTGCATTTCTATTTCTATTTCAATTTCTATTATCTATATTTCCATTTCCGTTTCTGTTCTCTATACGTCTATTTCTATTATTTCCACTTCTATATTTCTGTTTCTATTTTTTCTATTTCTACATTTCTATTTCTGTGTAGTCCTTGACTTATGATCATTCAGAAGTACAACGGACTTCCCAAAAGTTCCAACATTTCAACAGCCAGCCCTCCCATTGTCACACGAGTGCATGTGGGGCCCTCGGCCACCGTCTCGCGTTTCCCGCCAACTTGCAGCATCCCACAACCCCAATTTACGACATTTTCCCTAAAAGCTGGCCTTCCTTCCGTTTTTTGGGGTACAAACGCCCTGTAGCCAACCGTGGTTTCACTTAACAACCTTCACAGTCACTAAACAGCTGCTGAAAAAAAACCGATTGTAAAACTGGATTGATTATACGGGGGGGCCCACTTTACGACCTTCGCGGCCTAGGGCCATAATTGGCAGCTTCCACGATGGTCATAAAATTGAGTAAATCTGTCATTTCATCTACAGGTAATCCTCACTTAATGGCCAGAATTGATCCCCAAATTTCTGAGGCTAAGCGAGACATTTGCTCAGTGAGTTTTGCCCCACTTTACGACCTTTCCTGTTGTTAAGTGAGGAACTCAGTCATTAAACGAATCAGGCTTCCCCCCACATGGACTTTGCTTATCAGAAGGTCGCAAAAGGGGATCGCGTGACCCCCAGGACACTGCGACCGTCATAAATACGAGTCCGTTGACAAGCCTCTGAATTTGGATCACGTGACTCCAGGGGATGCTGCAACGGTGGTAAGTGTGAAAAGGTCATAAGTCACTGTTTTCAGTGCCGTTGTAACTTTGAATGATCACTAAGTGTTGTAAATCGAGGACTATGTGCACTTAATTGATGAAGAATGTGGCCACAGCTATCCATGAAAAGCAGGGGTGGGAGGGACGATCTGAAAGCCACACCAGATTGATGTGAAAGTCAGACCAGATTTGAAAGTCACACCAGATTGATTTGAAAGTCACACCAGATTGATGTGAAAGTCAGACCAGATTTGAAAGTCAGACTAGATTGATGTGAAAGTCAGACCAGATTGATGTGAAAGTCAGACCAGATTGATGTGAAAGTCAGACCAGATTGATGTGAGAGTCACACCAAATTTGAAAGTCAGACCAGATTGATGTGAAAGTAACACCCGACTGATTTGAAAGTCACACCAGATTGATGTGAAAGTCAGACCAGATTGATGTGAAAGTCAGACCAGATTGATTTCAAAATCAGACCAGATTGATGTGAAAATCAGACCAGATTTGACAGTCACACCAGATTGATATGACAGTCACACCAGATTGATTTGACAGTCAGACCAGATTGATGTGAAAGTCAGACCAGATTTGAAAGTCAGACCAGATTGATGTGAAAGTCAGACCAGATTGATTTGACAGTCACACCAGATTGATCTGACACTCACACCAGAATGATGTGAAAGTCAGACCAGATTTGAAAGTCAGACCAGATTGATGGGAAAGTCAGACCAGATTGATTTGAAAGTCAGACCAGATTGATGGGAAAGCCACGCCAGATGTAGTCATGTGTGGCTGAGGGCCATGCTTTAATCCGGACACCTTCTCCCAAGGCCACCAAGTAAATCTTGAAGGCAACTCAGATGATTCCTTCTCTCCCCAACCTGCTCCTTCCTTCCTCCTTCCCCATCCCACACCCTACCCCGGAGGGACTCACTGGAACACCATGGAGCAATTTTGCCAATCGAAAGGGAAGTAGGTGACGAAAACGGAGCAGACACTCTGATAAATGGCGGGGGGCAACCAAGTGATGCTGCCATCAGGAAACACCAGCGCGTTGGTGTACAAGGCGACGTCAAAGATCCCATCGATGCTGCAACAAAGAAGGGCGGAAAGAGAATCAAAAAGGTTTGGGGGCCTCCATTTTCTGGCCGGCTGGCTGGCTTGGCCGAGGGGGTGGCTGGTTTCCTCACTTCATCNCTCTGATAAATGGCGGGGGGCAACCAAGTGATGCTGCCATCAGGAAACACCAGCGCGTTGGTGTACAAGGCGACGTCAAAGATCCCATCGATGCTGCAACAAAGAAGGGCGGAAAGAGAATCAAAAAGGTTTGGGGGCCTCCATTTTCTGGCCGGCTGGCTGGCTTGGCCGAGGGGGTGGCTGGTTTCCTCACTTCATCATTTGAGGGGGTGCCACAAAGAAGAGGGGGACAACCCAGTGGTGGGATTCAGCCGGTTCGCACCACTTCGGCCGGGCCCAGAATGGACTTCCGGAAGCGGCATCCACCCAGAGAACCGGCTGTTCACCTATTTGAATCCCACGACTGGGATAATCTCTTCTCCAAAGCCCCTGAAGGCAGGATAAGAAGCAACAAATGGAAACGGACTGAAGAGAGAAGCAACCTGGAATTAAGGGAGGAAACTTCCTGACAGTGAGGACAATTAACCGGTGGAACAGCCTGCCACCAGAAGTTGTGGGTGCTTCGTTACGGTAGGTTTTTAAGAAGAGACTGGACAGCCGCTTGTCTGGAATGGTATAGGGCAGGGGTGTCAAACTCGCAACGTCACGGTTTGACACCCCTAGTATAGGGTCTCCTGCTTGAGCAGGGGGTTGGACTAGAAGACCTCCAAGGTCCCTTCCAGCTCTATTCTGATTGATTGATCTCTCTGTCCCTCAAACCATTTGGTCCCTCACCAACAAATGCCCTTGGGATATCCCGGAAGCCCCACCCACCAAGGGATGGATGACCCATGATTCCAACTAGATTAGGCTCCATATTACACGGAGGGTTGCCGTCAGAGGGGCGTGGAAAGCAAAATCAACTTCTACAGACTACTGACTTGTTCTCCAGGACAATATCTGGCAGCCAAATCAAGATCGAAGGGATCCGTAAGCAGCTGATGTTGCCGTAGTCCTCTGGGTCCCACTGCAGACGATAATCTTTCCATTTCTGGCAAGAACAAACTCGATTACTCACATTGGCTTGGCAAATATTGACAAGATCAGGCACGATTACTGCAGCTACCACAATTGTTGGCCGAGCAGGGACAAAAACAGCCTGAGAAATGATTGAAACCTGGGAAACGGGGCCCCTTGTCAATCAATCGGAGTGCTGATTTACCACCAGTCTGTCAGGTACTTAGGACCTGAGGTCGCAGCAGTACAAGGAAACGACGGTTAATGACTAAATAGCCAGCCATCGACACGCTAATTAACAACTAATAACTGCACACAACCAGGAACCGTATAAACACGATGCATGGACCAGCCCAGTGCACATATTCTGGAGTGAGGGAAGTTCCCTGAGAATGGCTTCCAGCATGAACCCAAAAGCTTGGAAGAATAAAACTTTGGTGCCGGTGAACCGACTCAGATTGGATCCTACCAATGATAGTGAGACCACGCCTGGAATACTGCAGCCAGTTTTGGTCACCATGTCACAAAAAAGATGTTGAGAGTTTGGGGAAAAAATCAGAGAAGAGCAGCTAAGATGATCCAAGGCCTGGAGACTAAAACATATGAAGAATGGCTGTGGGACTTGGGTTTGGCTAGTCTAAAGGAAAGAAGAAATAGGGAAGACATGATAGCAGCGTTCCAGTATCTGAGGGGCTGCCACAAAGAAGAGGGGGTCACGTTATTCACCAAAGCACCGGAGGGCAGGATGAGAAACAATGGTTGGAAACTGATCAAAGAGAGAAGCAACCTGGAATTAAGGAGAAACTTCCTGACAGTGAGGCCAATCAACCAGTGGAAAGCTTGCCACTAGAAATCGTGGGCGCTCCATCACTGGAGATTTTTAAGAAGAGACTAGACAATCACCTGTCTGAGATGGTATAGGTTCTCCTACTTGAGCACCGGGCTGGACTAGAAGACCTCCAAGGTCCCTTCCAGCTCTATTCTAGTCATTATACTTGGGACACATATCTTTACTTTCATTTGCCAGAGGACAGGGCTTGGTTTCTTTGAAAGGAATTTCCTCCATCCATCTGTTATTATGAGCCAGGCATGAGTGGAATTTCACCCTCGCGGTCACAATCAAGTATTCTGGGGTACTTCTCAAGAACCCTGTGCTTTTTAAAATTTATTTGGGTCAGAGATCACCTTGAAATGCAACTGAGTTAAGCCTGGAAGGGGACAACTCACTGCAGGACAATTTAACAATTCTGTTTAATTATTGAAAATAAATAAAAACATTGTTTTAATTTTTGCCATTCACATTTCATGCTGTCCCTCCTTCGGGATCCTTTCTTCAATGATTCTATTCCACTATTTCAGGGGTCTTCAAACTTGGCCTTTTTATGACTTGTGGACTTCAACTCCCAGAATTCCTCAGCCAGCCTCCATTTTGTTTGTTAGATTTAAGACAGGGGTCTTCAAACGTGGCCCTTTGATGACTTGTGGACTCCAACTCCCAGAATTCCTCAGCCAGCCTCCATTTTGTTTGTTAGATTTAAGACAGGGGTCTTCATACATGGCCCTTTTATGGCTGGTGGACTTGTGGACTTCAACTCCCAGAATTCCTCAGCCAGGCATGCGTTGAAGTTGAAGTCCACAAGTCATAAAAGGGCCAAGTTTGAAGACCCTTGTACTATTTCTTTGATATTAGCATAACTTTCGTCCTGCAGAGAGTTGACCATGGAGAGTTGTCCGAGACCCGTTTTAAGCTGCTTGTTTAACAGATGCCACAGACATCCCAAAGGTGCTTTTTTCAGGAGGCAACTGGACTTTCTTGTTTTTTCTTTGAAGACGTTTCGCTTCTCATCCCAGAAGCTTCATCAGCTCTGACTGGATGGTGGGGAATGGCAGGTATCACAGACATCCCTGCAAAGACATATATTAGTCCTGTATCTTTACTTACCATCTCTACCCACACGTTCGTTGTGAGAGCCTCATCGATCTCGTTCTGGAAAAGCACAAAATGGGATTACAGGCAGTCTCGATTTACGGCAGTTCACTTAACGACGGCTCAAAGTTACGACGGTCTCAGAAAAAAGGGACTCGTGAGCCATCTTTCGAATTCTGACCGTCGCTCCATCCCTGCAGTCACATCACTGTAACGGGGACACAGCCCCAGCCTGGTATTTACGAACATTGCAACATCCCGGTGTCACGGGATTTGCAACCTTCCCGGCTGGCTCCCCGCAAGCAAAGCTAACTGGGGAATCTGAATGACAACACCGTTCCTTACCAGGGAGATCAGGTTGGTGAGGGTAACCTTTAAAGAAACATTTACAATGTCCTCTTTGTCTGCAGCAGGGCGAAAATTGCGGTTATAATCGACCATCAGAACGTTGAAAAGGTGTTCCTCCTCATTCTGGCTCAGGACCACTGGAAAGGAAGAAAGAGGGATGATAATAATAATAATAATAATAATAATAATAATAATAATAATAATAATAATAATAATAATAATAATAATAATAATAATAATAATAATAATAATAATAATAATAATAGTAAAGTTGGAAGGGACCTTGGAGGTTATCTAGTCCAACCCCCTGCTCAGGCAGGAAACCCTATACCATTTCGGATAAATGGCTGTCCAGTCTCTTCTTAAAAACTTCCAGTGTTGGAGCATTCACCACTTCTGGAGGCAGGTAGTTCCACTGGTTAATTGTTCTCACTGTCAGGAAGTTTCTCCTTAGTTCTAGGTTGCTTCTCTTCTTGATTAGTTTCCATCCATTGCTTCTTGTCCTGCCTTCAGGCACTTTGGAAAATAGCTTGACTGCCTCTTCTTTGGGGCAGCCCCTGAGATATTGGAACACTGCTATCATGTCCCCCCTCGCCCTTCTCTTCATTAAACTAGACATACTCAATTCCAGCAGCCTTTCCTTATATGCTTTAGCCTCCAGTCCCTTAATCATCTTTGTTGCTCTTCTCTGTACTCTTTCTAGAGTCTCAACATATTTTTTACATCGTGGTGACCAAAGCTGGATGCAGTATTCCAAGTGTGGCCTTACCAAGGCCTTGTAAAGTGGTATTATTACTTCATGTGATCTTGATTCTATCCCTCTCTTAATGCAGTCTAGCACTGTGTTGGCCTTTTTGGCAGCTGCAGCACACGGCTGGCTCGTATTTAAGGGATTGTCCACTAGGACTCCGAGGTCCCTCTCACAGTTACTATTATTGAGCAAGGTACCCCCTATACTATACCTGTACATTTGGGTTTTTTTGCCTAAATGTAGAACCTTACTTTTTTCACCATTGAATTTCATTTTTTTAGATAGTGCCCAGTGTTCAAGTCTGTCCAGATCCTCCTGTATCCTAAGCCTGTCTTCTGGAGTGTTGGCTATTCCTGCCAGCTTGGTGTCATCTGCAAATTTGATGAGTTCCCCATCTATCCCCTCGTCCAAATCGTTGATGAAGATGTTGAAGAGCACTGGGCCCAGAACAGAGCCCTGGGGCACCCCACTACACACTTCCCTCCATGTAGATGCGGATCCATTGAGGACCACATGCTGAGTACGGCCAGTCAGCCAGCTATGGATCCATCTCATGGTGATGCTAACCCACATTTTTCTATCTTGTTAATCAATGTTAACAACATTGGGCCAATCACCAGGAGACAGTGAGTTCTAGTCCCACCTTAGGCATGAAAGCTGGCTGGGTGACTTTGGGCCAATGACCAGGAGACGGTGAGTTCAAGTCCTGCTTTAATCAAGTAAGCAGGCTAGGTGACTTTGCGGCAATCGCCAGGAGACGGGGAGTTCTAGCCCGACCTTAGGCATGAAAAATGGTTGGGTGCCTGGCTGAGGAATGCTGGGAGTTGAAGTCCACAAGTCATCAAAGGGCCAAGTTTGAAGACCCCTGCTGTATATAAATGATAGATTTAAATGATTTGAAGCCAGTGATGGTTCTTCAAAAGCTGTCCCAGCTGCCTCATCTCAGAAACCACAGATTGTACAAAATCTCGAAACCAATCTTATAAACCAAGCTAGCGAAGAATTTAACAAAGGACTGGTGAGCTGAATGAGCTTAACTTGGTTACTGGATTAATTTGCAGTTCACCAGATCGTAAGCCAACTGAACAATCTGGATTTGCAGAGCGTATGAAGCCACTCAAAACAGCCTAATAATCAGGTCAGTTAACCAAGCGTCGCAAGCTGAACAAATGTCCCAGCCAGGTTTGTAACTGACCTGGGTTTTCAGATAATGTTTGACCGCAATCCCTGATTAAACTAATCCTGATGCCTCTTATGAAAGGATGTTCTGAATCTCTCAGGAAAGCCATCCCCTTCCCAGGTTTTATATTCTGATGTGAATGCATTTGCCAGGTATCTGTCACATCTTAAATATGTGAAAATGTTTTTCTTTGGGGGGGTTTTTATGAAAAAGGAAAACTCGTATGCATCACCAGATATCTCTCTGTTGCTTTGTGGCTTGATCATGTTTGGTCTGCCCTAACATATTAAACACAACAACAGATTAACGTCTGGGCCATTTCAGGTCTAAAATGAGCATTAATTTAAGTAAGCGGCCAATCTGTTTTCGGTCCAAATTGATTAATAATAAACAGCTCTCCAGTCTGTGCCTGAAAACCGTCCCTATCTAGTGCACACAGTTCGTTGCCGGGCTGACTTTTTTTTTAATCCTTTCCATTATCAAATTATTAGCGAACAGCCACCACCCAATAAAGCCTGGGGAGAAACTTTGACAGATTAACCTTCGTTAGGATAATTGCCGCTGCTTGTCATGGGGGTGTGGGAGTCCCAAATTTTGTTGTGGGCAAATGCCAGCCCTGGTTTACCACCCACACTCTGGTGTTCTCTCTGACTGTGGTCATCTTAAGGCAGTGTATCTAAACCAGGGCTTTTCAACCTTTTCACCCATTGTACCACTTTTAGGATAGGGCAACATCCGAGCACCACCAGTCGCCTAGCAAGGTGTCAAAAACTTGATGACCAAAAAAAAAAAAAGGGAAAAAAGTGATAAAGTACAGGTAGTCCTCAACTTACAACAGTTCGCTTAGTGACTGTTCGAAGTTACAATGGCACTGAAAAAAGTGCCCCCCCAAGCCACAGCCGAGTAAGACACCTGCCTGCGGTGCTCTTCCTTCTGTCCGAGGTTTTCATTGTTGTGAGCATTTCTGTTGAGGATTGTCAGTGGGGGTGGGATGGGGGGTGTTTGGTTTTTATTCCCCCCGTCTGCTGGGTGGTTGCAGCAGGTTTTGGTCACTTCACATGACCCTGGGACACTGTGACCGTCATAAATATGAATCAGTTGCCAGGCATCTGAATGTAAATCACAAGAACCTGGAGATGCTGCAACATTCCAGCTGATCGGCGCTTCTTCTGGGCTCAGCAGAGGCGCCAGATCAGTGCCAAGCTCCAGCTGGAGCCTGGTGTTGATCCTGGCGCTTCCGCTGAGCCCTGACAGCCCCAAAGAAGCACTGATCCTGGCGCTTCCGCTGAGCCCTGACAGCCCTGCAGCTCCAGCCATCTCTCGCTCAGGCTTGTGCGGTGCTCCCACCGGTTCAGCTCATTCCCCTCTCCCGCTACCACTTTTCTAGGATGGTCATGTACCACCTGCCAGGTGCCAATGTACCACAGGTGGTACCCGTACCACTGGTTGAAAAGCCCTGATCTAAATTACTGTGGGAAGTCAGCTCCCCCAGAGAAGGAAATATTAAAAGGGCAGAAAAATATATTTCCTCAAAGGATCTTAAAGAGGCAGAAAAGCATGCCCAGTTTTTTCTTAATAGCTCCAAGTCTCCCTCCCCCAAGCAGAAACCAGCTCTATAGAAATGCAGATGTAAACCATTCAGGAAAGTTGAAGCTAGAAGATTAAGAAGACACCTAAAATCTACATACCCCCCACACAACTCTAAGACAGGACATAATAGGATTAGCCCACAGATGCCAAAGGGACACAGGTCAAAATACATGACACAGGAAATACAAAGCCTCAAAGAGGAACAGGAGACAAACAAAAGGCTCCAAAGGGTATAAAAACCCACTCCCTACATGTGCTCTTTCTTTTTTCTTCCAGAGCCATCTTCCTGTCTGGCTCTCCTCTTCAATAAACTGCAACCTTCTTTCTAAAGCAGTCGCCATGTTGCTTATTCCCGGCTTGGACTGAACCATGATAAAGACTTTTCCTTCAACACTACGGCACCTTTAAGACATGTGGACTTCAACTCCCAGAATTCCCCAGCCAGCAAATACAGAGAGTCCTCCACTTAGTTTAGTGACCTTTCAAAATAAACCTTAGTTTGGTGCTTATTCAAAGTTACAACCGCACTGGAAAAAAGTAAGTTATGGACGTTTTTTACACCTCCGTAGCAGCATCCCTATGTGGTCACTTGATCAGAATTCAGATGCTTGGCAACTGACTCGTATTTATGACAGTTGCAGTGTTCCCGGGATCATGTGATTCCCCCTTTTGCAACCTTCTGACAAGCAAACTCAATGGGGGAAGCCGGATTCACTTAACAACCGTGTTGCTACCTTAACCGCTGCAATGATTCACTTAACGGTGGCAAGGAAGGATGTAAAACAGGGCCAAACTGACGTAACAACTGTCTCGTTTAGCAATGGAAATGTCGGCCTCAGTTGTGGTTGTAAGTCAAGGACGACACTACTTGTAAACTTCTGCCTCTAAAAGCTCTTCATTTGGGCTGATTAAGTTTTGGTGCCCAAGTACTGTAGTTTTCTGGATTGTGTTAGTCGGGATTCAAAGTTCAGCCAGAAACCTATCGCAAAGAAATCCTATCCTTGGGAAGAGGAAACCGCTAAATTCCAGAGTGAATGGACAGTGGGCTATGCAAACAATGAATTGTCAGGCCTGTCCACGTGTTAAGACAGTTAAGCAGATCTTATAAATAGCAGCTGCAAGGAAGACACAGGATATTGGATCGTATAGTCATAATAATATTTCATCTGTGAATTTCTAATCAAATGAATTGCTCCATCACTGGAGGTTTTTAAGAAGAGACTGGACAGCCACTTGTCCGAAATGGTACCGGGTCTCCTGCTTGAGCAAGGGGCTGGACTAGAAGACCTCCGAGGTCCCTTCCAACTCTGTTATTCTGCTATTCTTTTTTCCTTCCTTCCTTCCTTCCTTCCTTCCTTCCTTCCTTCCT